AGCACAGAAGGCGTAGCAGAGAGCTTTCTTGCTTACTCCCGCTTCCTTCATTTTCTTCTTTCCTCCTAGCGAGCTTCGAAGCCTGGAAAGCGGTGGCGGTGGGGGAGAAGCACGATGTGCTGACGCAGCGTCTGGCCTCCTCTCCTCTCATAAGCTCGGCGCCCTCCTCCCTCCCTTCCTCCCTGGGAGACGCGTGCAGCCTGGCGTGCCTGATTGCGTTGGAGGACGAAGGAGACCAGAGAGGAGCGGAGGAAGGGAGGGAGGAGGGAACAGCAACGGCATCGGCGAGGACGCTGGAGTTGGGGGTTGTGAGGGATGAGAAGGTGTATCTGTTGGAGGAAAGCGATGTGGCGACTGCCTTGAAGGCAGGAAAGCAAACATAAAGCGAGCCAAGAACAGAAGAAAAAAATAGTCCCAAAAGCATCATGATAGTGGTGAGAGCTCATATACAGGAAAGTTATATGAAAGCAACGGATAGGGTTCGCCTTCTTGCTTCCCGGAATGAATGGGAGACTTCATTCGTTCCCTTTTCTCGACGTCGAGAGTAACTCTGCACTGAGACATGCATTACACCCGTAGAACATCCAAAACCTTCCCATATATATTATTGGTCATTGAAACATCACTCTGACACCATTTCAAAACGCTTTACCTGTACTGTCACATGCTTTCAGTCCCTCGGTCGTCCGGGAACGTAACGTGACACACGTTTTTGGTCACGCGTCAGATATTTCCTGTGCGAGGCCCCTCATCTCTCTTCCAGATATTCGATCGTCGGCATACGGAGCCCACTGACAGCAAAGCAAGCAATGCCAAGCGCTTGCACTCATACCAATTTATTTCCACTAAGCATGCTGAGCCAATCGTAGCCTTTCGGGTTGCTCAAATGGCGTCTTTGACTTAACAACGCCAATTTTATCAGACAGCGTCATCTCGGTCTATCCTCCAACGCAAAGACATATTTGCCGAGCCGACAGGCGCGTGTTTAAAGCATGAGAAATATATTTGAAAGGGACACTGTTCATTGACATGGCTAGAAATAGCTCACAGCATTCATTGTGGGTGGGGCTTTTGTCATAAAATTGATGGTATCCGAGAAAAAGACTGATTTCTTAAATTCCCCATGTCCCACTCACTTTCATCACTTTTCGGTACGGAGGCGCAGTGGTAGGACGCGGCGTGGAATTTCAGACCATCACCACGCAGTGGTGAAAAATCGCAATTTGCGAGCTCTAATCAAGCGTCGATGAGGCCTATTTTCCTGCACCTTACCCCTGTCCTGTGCCCCATTTTTCTTCTGGCCGTGGTGGTCAGTCTTGTCGAAGCGGGATGGCTGGGGTACCTCTTTGGAGGCAAAGACGCGACGCCTGTAAGTGAAAATATATCACGAAAGCCGTGATCTTATCCATTCAAATGCCTGCCAAATTCTAGTCGGTGCATTTTCACGCGAAGTCACGAGCAATAATTGCGGAATAGAGGCCTCGATCTCAGCAATACCATGCCATATCTCTTTCCCTCCGGCACGTCACAGACCGCCACGTTGACACAATCGCCGGCAACTCTTGAAGCCTGCGAGGCGGTGCTCGTCACAAACATGACTGAAACAGTCCAGGAATCGGTCACAGACGGTACGGAGCGCAGGGAGGCGGGGCGGAGGCCGGTAGGGATGCACAATGGGGGAAGACATGGACGAGTGCCTTGGAGTTGTGGGTTCAATTCTCGACGTAGCTTTGCGAGTACATCAATGCATGCAGCGTGAATAAGCGCTGGCCCTCTTATCCGTATTCACAGCGGAAAGTCGCCTCTTGTCCTCCTCCCGGACTACCTTCCGAGCCGAACGGACGCAGACAATGCGGATAGAGAGTACGGAGGGAGGGGAGGCGGGGGAGGAGGGAGGAATGGAAGGGAGGGAGGTAGATGCTCGCTGCGATGGACATGGG